CCAGAACATCGTAAACTGGCCAAATACCATTAACCCCCCTCTTTACCATCAGACCGAGTGACGTCAGAAACGGAGAAGAAAACACTATATAACCCAAAAGTTTGTAACTGTACGGGGAACAATACTTCGGTTTTGTTGTTTCTTGCGGGAAACAAGACTTCGGCTTTATTGTTCCTTGCATGCAATAAACTCATCTGTTTTACTTCATCTCGGGATCAAGAACCTTATTTCTTCTGTTACAACACAACTATTAATTGATGTTAAATCACTACAAGATTTATCTTTCTACAATAACAGCAAGTGGTGTTCTTACTATGTATTCTATGAAAAGGATAAAATGTTATAACTTTTTATGAAGTACAGAATATATGCTTAATAATTTTAGAAGCACGTTAAAACCAGAATCCACTGCAAGTTACCAAGTTAAAGACTTTAATGCATAAAATATTTTAGCATAATTAAATTATTTATGATGAATGTGAAGGTTGTGTACTTTTGTCCAACTGAGCAATCTTGCTTTTATAAAATATACCAACTTTTTAATGTTTAATGATTAACATGCTGTAATACACAGTTTAAAATTATTAAAAGTCTAAAGTCTAAAGTCTAAAGATACAACTTAAATTCCTAATTGGAAAAAGCCAGCAACCAGGATTTAAAACCAGGCGTTTTCTGGTGATAGCTCAAATGCTATACATGAGACATTAAGCTTTATTAGCTCCACCTGGCAGTTTTACAAGGTGCTTCAGGATACTATTATCTTATTTCAATTTACATGCGGTATGATGTGGTATATTGCGCCACATCCGCCGCGTTTTAACGCAGCGTACCTTGCCCATTTTGAATGGCTGGATCTGTAAGTCTCAAAAACAATATTATTTACACTCATTGTTAATGACAATAAATACTTATCCTGCATTTCCTCATGACATAAAAGTTACGTTTATGAAAAGACACTAACTGTTCTTATAACCATATTATTCTTACCATATTCTTTCATGAGAAATAAGTGGGTCCTTATAACGGCAACCAATAAATGTTGATTTTTGAAAGTTAAAGAAATTATAAAAAGAAATATTTGTATTAGCAAAACTAAAAACATTTCATAAATCGTATAAGTAGTAGTAAAGTTTTAAAATCCTCTGGCCTGCAAAAGAGTAAGCAGAGGTTCATTCATTTCTGAAAGAAAATCTGCTTCAAGAAAAAAAATTGCTGTCACACTACCTTTTGAGTACACTGCAGATTCCAGCAAAGTATACCTAAAAAACACAAAGATCCCCAAGCAAAAAATAATAAATAATAATTTGTTCATCAGTTGCTAGTGATGGGAAAAATGGTTCAAATTTATCATTAAAAAACAGATTCAAATCTCAAGAATCAACCTAAATTCTCAATTGTCAAAATAACTTCAATATTTTTTTTCAGAAGATGAAAACTCCCAAGAATGAAAACAGGGTAGGTATTTTAAGTGGCATTCAATAGCCCAGACAAGTTCATTGGGGCTTTTCAATGCTTTCTTATGCTCTCTAGCTTTTTCAGATAATCTATCTTGCCAGTGGTTGCTACAGCTCATTGAACATAAGTGACTTGGGAAATCTTATGAGGCACCCTCTTACTTCCTTGTACTAGGTAAACTAAATCAGAATTTCAGTTCCATCTCATGGGTTAGGTTAAAAAAATATATATATTTAAAATTTTACTTTTGATTAGAGCCAAGAAAAAGCAGACATTTTAACCAAGTAATACATAACATGTTCTGCATTGAGATCACAATAAATAAATTCAATGGTTATAGCTATGATTATGCTTAAATCACATTTCCATGGAACCTTATGTTTGCCCATTTTGATTGTCTACCATTTTAACTAGTGTTACATAAGATTCTGGAATTGCATGGTGTGTAATATCCTTTTAGAAAATCCTTTCCACTTTTTATTGCAGATACTAAACCATCATATATTTTTAACTTTCGTGTTTAAATGCATTGTAGGGAAGCTTAAATTAATCTTAAGCAAGGGTTAGTTTTTTAAAAAAGCAATGCAATTTTAGGACTAGGCAATGAAAACATAATTTTCAATGCATGAGCTCTCCAAATCATTGATTTGGTCACATGCTAGTGCTGTTAAATACAATTTTCCAAATTCTTATCAGATAGCCCATCCACGTGATTTATGAAAAATATAAAAAAATCTGAAACATAATGAATTGCGATCAACAACTTAAACAGTGAAACAAACACCAAAGTGAAGTTCATAAGCCAAATGATTCATAAAAGTGAACTGAGTTCACAATTCAGAGTTCAAACACATGAATATTGAATATGCTAAAAATAAGATCTTAATACTGTAAGTGCTGGAAACCCTTTACTGTCTATAAATATATACAGTATAAAATAAAAGAGGTAAGTTCTGTTAAACCCAGTGTTGAGATACACTAATGTGTTATGAATAGTTAATAGGAAAGTTATGTTTTCAATTCCTATTATGTTAATATTACTGTATTGTGAAAACCAAAATGAAGAAAATGTCAGAATGTAATTTAACCTGCAGATAACCCTGTATGCTAAAACAAACAAAAAATCTGAAATCAATTTGATTTCTATCAACTCCAGACATTTGATTTTAAAATCAAGTTACTTTTTTCAAGCATAGAATATAGAATTGACCCTATCTTGAAAGCCTGTCACTGTAGTAGGATAAATAGGAAATCAAATTAGCTTTAACAGGGTTCTAACATCCAAATCATTCATATCAATGTTATATTGACACATGACACAGTTAAACTGCAGAAAAAACAGTTAGCAATGGGGGCATTTCTTTAATATGTTATGCCACTACAATTTTAAAATAATATATTATGCTTAATGAACTGTTAGGGAACCCTGTGGACACACCGCAAGAAATGAATGTGTGTAAATGAGCCATTACATTCTATATAGTTAGTGCAGAAACCTTTTACATATGGAGCTGAAAAGCTTTATTTTTAATGGTATGCTACTGTACTACATTCCATCTGTGCATGAGTGCCCACTATATAATTGTAGAATTAGAGAGAAAAGTTTCCTTTTGTTGGCTGATGCAGAAGTGCAGATTTTACTGAGCCTAGTATTATCACAAGGCATTACATGCAAAAATAGAAGCTAAAACACAAAAAAATATTCAAACACAGACATTCAGTACAGCAAATATACATATCTTCTGCACTTTTGTAACTATATTTGTGGCCATAGAGAAACATTAACGAATAATGTGTTTCCTTAAAGGAGTCTAGTGGTGTGTGAATAGGAATAATTTTGTGGGTTGCAATACTAAGAAGCAGTAATGCACCAGACCTGAATGCAAGATACACTTAGTGTGTCAAAGTATTGATTGTGGTATTGACAGCTTTCTCGACAAAACCAATTTAGGAAAAGAAGCATTATGAGAAAACCATTTTGCAATATGCAGCAGCACAAGCTGATCCAAACCCAAAGCACAAAATGATCCAAACAATTCTTAATTTATAAACTATGCAAATAAGATTTTACGTAACAAGATTCTCCTATTTTTATAGAAAACTATACCTCACAACTTTTCATTCTATTCCAAAGTCAATTCCCATTCATTTATTTTATTATAAGTCTGTGTTAGTAAAATAATGGTCTCCAGGATTATTCTATTTAAACATGGTGAAAAGGCAAGTTTTTATTTAAATTAAAACTTAACACATGTGCAATAACTGTCTTCAAACAATAAGAAACTATTTTTACCTCCTAATCCAGGTCTAAGGCGATTATCATAGCCATCCAGTAGTCTGTCAAGAATTCTTGTGAAGAGAGTAATATTATTTTTGAATGCATCTGTTGTTGGGTCAGCCCCTAACGATCTAAACAAAAAAATACATATGTTAATATGTGTATTTTATGAAAGCACATCAAATTTAAGAATCTAATCTTACAATCTTTTCCTGGTCTCCTTTTCTAAGTAAACATATATAAATGCACATACAAACATATTAGCATATACTGTAGATATATTTATTATTACATTATTTGAACCCACACACAGAAAATAAAATGTGGGAGGTGGCAATCTTTCACATTACAATGAAATAACACATACATTAAACCCATTTAAATACATGTAATCAAAATAATTTAGTCAATTTAATTTACTTACTCTCCTTTAGTTTGTTTTACTGTATTTTAAACCCAAATCATTGTGTTTTTAACTTTCATTTTATTCTAAGTGTTGAGCAATCTAGTACATATTATTTTAAGCTGTCTTTTCTGAACATTGTTTATATATTTGCTTGGTTTATTATACATGAAGCATCATAACATCTTTACTACAAGCCTTATACAGACTTGACTTGCTCTGTCATTATTTCCTTTTTGTCTTGCAAAATTCCATGCTGACTTGAATATATTCTATTAATATATGCTATATTCTTTTTTACTTTTGTTGTTGGTCAGTGAAAAGTCTTTATTTCTTTATTAAATTTTCCACACTTGTGATTACCTCAGATTTTTCCTCAACATAGAAATGTATTATTTTCTTTCCTGCTTAAAAATAGTTAATCCCATACTTATTTAATTTCTTGAGCACTCAAAACATGATGAACTGAATCCATCAAATCAAACTGCAAATTGAGTCTGCATAATAATATATGCAGATAAAACATTCACAATGTATTTATAACATTCTCCTCTTAGAAAAGGGTGATCTGTTGACAATCCTTTCAAAGTCCAATCAGTTAGATACTTTAGAAATTGCATTTCTCTTCAAACAGCATTATTTTTATGTTTTTACGTGTTTTATACATTTGGGATAAAAAGCTCTTGCACTTCACATTTTGGAACAAATTAACTGAGAATGTCAGAACAAAGCACACGGTCCAGTGCTGAAAACATATGCAAACTTAAGACACTATATGTGTTTTTCTTAATTTCCAAAATCTCCATTTTGAATATTAAAGCTCTTATTCTAAATATTATTTCAGGGTAGACAATATAAATTGCACATGAGCAAGTTATTATTCTGCATATCAGTCTGCAAAGTATAGAGACTTATGACTTATGATTTTGTTTAACCACCTTTCTACACAACTGAAAATTTCATAGGCAGCATGTTTATATCTGGCTTAGTCCTCAGATGTTTAATATTATAGTTCTTGACCACCTCTTGTTTATTCTCGTTACATTTAAAATGTATATAGTTATATCTGAATATTAGCAATAGATGATCCCGTTTAACACTTTATAAATTAAAAATGTGTCATATTGGCCGTGTTTTCTGAATGTAATAGCAAATGCAAATACATGTTTGATGTTTCCTATTCACCCATTAAAAATTAATAACCACGCAAGTTTGAGTACACTAGCATTTTTTTTTACTTATAGTAAGGGAACTATTGACATTTGTATGGTAGCATATCTGTTAGATAAAAAAAAAGATAAAGGTTGTATTCATTTCAAAATAGCATGTATTGTCTTACTGGAAGAAATATGGATTCAGAGTGAAACGTACGTAACATAATAACAATAAAAACAAGTGACATTTAAAATCGAATTAGTCATCTGGAATAAAGCCCAAAGTCGAAGCCATGTAAAAAAACGGCTCCATTTTGATTGATTTATAAACTATATTGTCACATCACACACTATTTATGATAGTTCCAAAATGCAGTCCTTTAGTCAAAGCGGTCTATTATGTTTTGTCAGTTCACACCCTGTCGTGAATTGCTCATTGTAAAGCCGATGTGTCCTACTGTGCATTACTTAATCATTAAAAACTGTTCCTCAGAATCTCCGAGGCAGCAGTGCCAACTCTGTGAAGTTGAGTACTATCTCCACCTAGAGGAGCAGAGCCTGAACATCAGCTGTGATTTGGCTATTTGACAGAATGGATCAACTATCGTGCTTCTACTGTATTTTAACAATTTTATCGATTCTTTTAGACATGCAAAAGGGTTACCATACCAAGTTACACTGCTTGACATTACACGAATAACGTCATAAGATTAAAAAAAACATATTTCCACCCCACTTTGAATCCTTGTCTCTAATTTCGATTTACATTTTGGATTAAAAAAAACTTACCTCGCGTGCCACAATATCATCAAAGAACAGCAGATGAATAAATACTGAAAACTGTGCACCCTCTCCCTCATAGCTGATATTTACACCTACACAAAAGGGGGAAGAATGATGGTATTAAAACCGGAGTTGGGCAAGACATGATTAAACTGTACATAAAATACTAAAATAATGATAACTTTAAACAAGTGTTATGAATATACAGCGTACCAATAAGGCAAATATAAGTACAAATATTTACTAATACGAAACTGTAGTTCTTTTTCCAATTAGATGAAAAATGTATATATCCATTTATTTTCACTATATAGATTTTTAATTTGATGATTTTTATTGTGTGTAGCGATATATACTAAGAATACTCAATTAGCATACATTAAAAACAATCACGTCTCTATGTGACGATAATCTCTTCTGGTTATTCATGTCTGATTAGTCAACAGTACGAATTACATTAGGTAACTTTAGATGCGAATCTTCTAACAGTAATATTAAAATGCACAAATAACATAATAAAAGCAAAAATTATTATATACTTTAACTCAAATTGTTGCTTGCAAAACCCCACATTTATTGTTATATGATAGAGAGCCAGAAGTGTTACATTGACTGCACTTGCTTTACTGTAAATGACAAAGGTTATTCAGTACTGAAATGTAAAGTCGAGTTTTATTTCTAATTGATAAGTCGTTTAAAAGAAGAAGCTTACCTGGAAGGAGGGATGTCTTTCTTTATACTGATCCTGTGGAAGATGGGAAAGTTGTGCCTAAGAGTACAGTGCTGCAGTAAGATTCCGTTCAGTGTGATTTAGGCAAGACCCTGGGAGCGCGCAAAGAAAACGAGGGCGAGCCTGAATAAATTCCAAAGACCAAGGAATCACTTGGACTGCCAATAGTTTGTGTACATCCCAGAGCCTGTCACCCACACTGCCCCGATCTTCCGTTAGATAGCTCTGGATTTTAGTTATTTTCACCTGCTGACATTCGGTTCCTAATTCTCTGCGGTGTGAGCCGAGGAAACAAAACTACAAAGAAATAGGAGGAGCATCACTGGGTCTTAAAGCCTGCCAAGTTTAGAACTTAAGTAACTACCGCTTGAGAATTATGTGTATAAACGCATATTTATGTGCACTTAATAGCAGTAAAGATGATAGTGCTATTTATTACATTAATACTTCTCGTACCCAGAATTTATATAATAAAAGGCCATCAAGGTTGCACTGTATGCTTGCGTAATGAGATGTTAACTTCTGTGTACCAGGCCAAGTACAGCACATACTGCCGCTGTAAACGCAAAAATAAATCACGTTTTAATTCCACCTAAAGCCATTCTCATGTTGTGTGTAGGTGTATTGAATCATATCAATATTTAAGCCAAAAGACTAGAGTTAAAATTCGCCTCATTAAAATACACGAACAAGCAGAGAAAATGAGAATATAAACATTATTACAATTCCAATAAGGGGGAGAGGGAACATTAAGCACACTGAAAACCAAATAAAGGGCAGTGACGTTTAAGTTGTTACTATTGACATACCGGCTCGTATAGATCGATGTAATTCTCTCCTGCACATCACTTTGTCGAAGACAATAGAAATGCTTCTGAAACAAATCAACCTTTGACGTGAAATCAACCTGCAAACCCTTAACATGGCTTTTATATGATAATAAATGTAGTACACAAGGTGTTGTTACGCTTTCTAGTCTTATAATAATGTTGACAATGTAAGTTAACTATTGTGCCTGTGGTAGAACAGTCTGCACTATAAATAATTGAATGCAAGCTTTCGTTCACCGCAAGTAGAGATGTGATTCATTAATATGCATTATTTGCCATTGGCGCAAGTCTAATTGAAATTCTCAAAGATGAGATATCTTGTCCCCAACAGTCCTCAGGAAAAAATACACAAACTAAAACAAGACGTGAGATGCGATTAAAATATGGTTGATAGCTTTTTATGACCCACCATCAATTCTTCTGTCTAGAAATATTCATGTGTGTGCGTGCGCGCGAGCGTGTCTATGTGATTCATCACTATTGGAAAGCAGTAGCATGTGTTCTATTTCTGTGGTTGCTTGCTGTTTAAACCCTGCACTATTGCTCGCTCTTACTGCAGAAGGCGAATCGCTCGTCAACGTGACTGACAAATCAGATAAATATGAAAGGAAAATAGCTACAAATAATTGTTTTAACTGCCAATACGTAAGGCAGATAAACATATATACGAACAATAAAATAAAAAATTACAAAAAACACTTCTCTTTTGTTATATAAACGTAATATGTATTCTTATAAAAGGAACAATTACACAAAAGGAAAATACATTTTTTTAAAACTGATAATCTCTTTATAACAGTATTGGCGATTTCTAACACGAACACACATGGGATGTAAGAATCTCAGAATAATTGTGCACATTCGACATGTTACCAAGTTAATATTAAGTCCTTGTTACTGAAAGGCGGCTTCTAACATCTCGCTTTAAGCAGTATCGAACATACAGTGGCTGCATGCTGACGAATAGTACGTGTAAAACATGAAGAACAGTGACAGCTCATTTTGTGGAGGTTTATTTTTATTAAAAAAATAAATCTTTAAAATTTGCGTGTATATTACTATTTACGAGTTATTATTACGGTTACTAAATGCCTACACAACAAAGCAGCTAAGCAGCACAAAAGAGCGAACTAGAGAAGCTTAAATATAGAAATATGTTAGGCCTTTCGAGTTAATGTACAGACTAATGTAAATACAATATTTGAGACTAACACTTCCTGTCTTAATATAGAAAATAGCGGTTGTCCATTAGTTTATTTACTCTCTGATAATGCAATTTATTCGTTTTTTGTATTCCACTCAGATAATGGCAAAAGAATCGCAACTTATGCTGGGGGAACCATTTCAAATATCCGAGGGAGACTATTGGTATAAATTAACATTACATTTTCTGTTCTCCAGTATGTCAGCATTCAAACAGAATTCTCAAAGGTTAAATTAAATGCCTGTTATGTCCCTTTTCTGTCAGAGCCAATCTAACAAAAAGATTGGCTTTGACATTTTTGGCATTTGTAAGGTATATACATTTGGATTAGAAAACCAACATGAATGAATGATAATTTAAAACCCAAACTCCCCAACAGTCATTTCCAAGGGGAATGTATGTGCCCTTAATATCTTCTTATTTTGGAAAGTATAGACAGTATATGCCTGCTTTAAGACTTAGAGTAACCACTTGTGCATCAAGTCTGCAACTACAGATATTTTAGATGGTTTACTTAAAAAACACACTAGAAAAAAAAACATTTAATTTTCTTTCTTCAAAAATTTAAAAAATGTTCACATCTTTACTTCCGGTGAACGAAATCAATTATTTATATTAGTACTGTACATATAGGAACCCATTTTTTCCCAGACCTTATCTGGTATATCTACTACTTTGGATAAAGATCTGAGACTGAAATATCAAAAACAAAAAATCTTCATCAGGTTTTCTAAACCCAGGTCCTGACATGGATTTCATAGACTTCCAATTAAATAAATTAAAGATTAAAATAATAATAATAGTTATTATTATTATTATTATTATTATTATTATTATTATTGACATTCAGACAGACAAAGCTTTCACTAGACACTCATGAACCTCCCCTAAATCTCTAAATAGAGGTGAAAATAACTGACAGTTAATGTCACCTATCTGTCACGATCAGTTCTTTCCAGACCCTATGCGGACGACACAATCCGGGGTAGAGTGAGGAAACACTAGGAAAAAGTCATGCAGGATACGGGAATAAAAACAGGGGGGCGTGTACAAGGAGTGCTGGTGGTCAGGGAAGCTGCTGTAGCGAGGCAAACAAATCCAGGGACGAGTCCAAAGAGATATCCATCCAGGGGATCCATCCAGGAGATTAAAAATGAGAACTGGGTCGGGACCAGCGGGGGGAATGGGAACAGGAACAGAAAGTTAAAAACTTAACAGAGCCAGACGCATCCAGGACATGGGCTCGCATGATGCGGAAACCAATGCAGAGCCCTGTTTAGTGTCATCGACTGGCTTTTAAGGGGGAACTGAAAAGTAGCTGGAATAAGGAACAGGCGCTGGGAATGAGGCAAAACAAGGAGCAGCCCTTAAGGGGAAGAGACTACAATTGTGACACTATCACAGCAGCAAAAAGCAAAATGCTCACAGTTTAAATTTAGTATGAAGACCATTGTTTCTCTTGTCCTGTTTTGATTTCTTGGTGGATTATTCTTTGTTTGGTTTCAATATTTTGGAAATTTCTTTATAACTTTACAATAAGGATGTTGGGATCCTATTGTTTTGGTAAGATTTCTTTTGCAATTGTATTTTTCTGTAAAAATGGCAATTAGCATTATGTGGGCTTTGAGTACAGCATGTTTTTATTCTGAATTCATCAGGAAAATGATCTTAGATAAGAAGGTAAAATGATTGGGTTGCTTAATTAGGATATGTAATACACTGTTTTAAAAGAGTGTTATTTTGTTTCTCATGATATATAGTTTATGGTGGTGTGTTTTGATTTGGCTGTTCAAAGCTATTAAAAACTTAAAAAAAACAGGTAAGGCTGTTGTTTTTATTGTGGTCTATTGCATTATTGTGGTCAGTCCTGTGTCATTAATATGTTCGTTTTTTTTAATACATGGTTTCCCTGGTATAGAAACAAATTTAATTGTTGGATGTGGAGGATATTGGAGATTACATGCGGGTGCAATGCTTTGTGAAACACTTAAAAAAATATTGTTGTTTATCATGATGCAAGTTCAGTGTGAAGGTGTTGTAACCACACTGAAACTATATTATACAGATGCAGGTGTCTGTGAGTTTGACTAAGAGATTAACAAAACAACAGGAATGTTTACAAATGAGGGGAGATAATTCAATGTTTTTTGTTTCAATTATATGATTGACCTGAGGGACTAACTACAACCTGAATAATTTGATCCAGACTCCCACCAACTTTTTTACAAAGAATACAATACAGGAATACAATGCCCCATTTCTGTAAACCTAAATGGACTTGCTCCTTTTTTGACTTGGGGCCTGTGGTCCATGTTTCACTGTTGATGCTGAAGTTTTTTATTGACTCTGTAATACTGTACCTTTAAGGATTTTAAATAATTGAATCACCCCCCATTGTCCTCTTTTCTTTTTAATAGAAAATGCCTTCAGTTGTTTTAACTTGTTATTTAGACATTCTATTAAGTACATGAATATAGCTGATTGCTCCTATTTAGACCAATTCAAGAGCAGCAAGGCCTTTTTGTGAAATGTCCCTTATATACAATATTTTAATGATGTGTTGGGGACTCAGGCAGTTTCAACAAAGTGACAGAGTGTTGTGGAATATGAAGAGTGGTGTCTGTCTACAATATTCTGAATGATGTGTTGGGCACTCAGGCAATTTCAACAAAGTGACAGTGTGTTGTGCAATATAGAGTGGTTTCTGCACTAAAACTTCTCCCAGACATACATTAGTGAATACCATCAAACAGAGACTTCATGAAATAGCTGTTAATATTCTAATTTATAATTCTATCCACTGTGTTTATAGCTTCTCTTCTCTGTAGCAAAGTACCACGATTTAAACATTTCTTGCAGTTTTTCTAATGTGATAGGTGTTCTGAACTGCACAGACATCTTCATTAAAGTCCCCATAGGGCCAAACAAGGATGATTTTGTTAACATAAAATCAATTTAGAGCATCAAAGTAAAGGTAAAAACAAAATTCTTAATGGCCTCTAGTTTAGTTTTAACTACCATCCTCTCTAAAGCTGTCCTTTAATATGATTATGTTTTTTGAAAATTCAACAATGCTTTCTTCCCTAGGAGGCTGGATGACCAATAATCCATGTATATTTATATGGGATTAAGACATTTTTTATTAAATAAATCATCTTTTAGAGGTAAACATTTGTTTTTTAATGGTGGTTACAGGAGCCATGTTTTTGTTCCCATACAAAAATGCATCCAAGTCAAAATGAGTTGAGCAAGCTTTGCCATATTAAATATTTCTACACATCTAGTGCTGCTGTCCTTAAATTTAGGCAAAATTCCCTCCGTGAGCAGTACCTGAGTATTTTCCTAAGTAAGTAAGCAAT